CCCAGATCCGTCCGGTCAAACATACAGTGATGTGCTGGACGCGTCGGGTAGTCTTGTGGTAAGTTCCCGGAAAAATCTTGAATTTCAAGCCTGAAATTGCAACTTGTCTTTTATGTGATCACAAAAGGAAGCGAGAAAAAATAGGATCACTCTCTAAATCAACTTCCAGCTAAGCAGTCTTTGAAGTTAATTCCCCAATTTAAAAGGAAATGTTTTTTTTTTGCTTATGCCAGGTTGTGGAATCCGTCCTCGACGGCCGACGTACTGTGACTGCGATGCTTCCCATCCCTGTAACCGACATCGATGAACTTCGACTGGAGATTTTGTCAATCGGCAATGACAAGTTTGGAAGTTTGCGTGTTGGTTTTCTGGGTTGCATGAAAGGTGCGTCATCTTAATCACGCTAATAAGGACTTGGCAGGAAGGGTTGGCGACGTTTCTGATGGTCTTCCACTGAACTTTCAATACTACCTTACAACGATGTTTTCTAGTTTTTATTTTCAGTAATTGTTCTTTCTGTTTTTTCCATTACAGAAGTCACTACCACTACTCCTACAGTAACCACAACTAAAGGTAAAAGAATGAGCTTTATTCAAACAGTTTGCCCATAAATCCAAGCCTCTGGTGTGGTGTGGTTAATTTTGTCCAGAAGCTGTTGTCCACCTTTATTCGAAATGGTCTGTTAATTTTTTTTGCCCAAGTGACAACATTGTTTTAATGTCCTGGTTTTCTGTAAACATGTAGTTTTGTGACTTAATTTGATTTCAGTGTTTCTTATAATCCGTCAGTGGCCTCTAAAATGTCAGTCTAACTGGGTCATCGTCTTTTTTGCAACATCTTTTAGAGAGCCACATCAGTTAATGGGACATTTGGTTTAACGTTACCTTTAAATTCAGTTTGATTCATAGAACTTTCACTAAAATAAGCGACCTCCAATGCAAAAAAAATGAAACATTTTAAATTGTTGCTTTGCCCAAGATCAATTATCAAATCAACTCCAGTCTGGTAACTTACCTAACAGATCTAGGTATATATGAAGGTTAGGTTTTGTGTTTAAATTTAGATGTTTGGTCGCTAATCTTAAGCTTGCATAGAGGAACAGAGCTTATTGGAGAAAAAAAGTGTGGGTAGGCAGTTATACCCCGCATCGAACGGCCGTAAAGCATAAGCAGTTCTCCGAAGATCACTAAAAATTTGGAAAAACTGCTGATACTGTTCTGTTCATATTATGTACATTAAAAACTTTCCTATATGAGGAACTGAATACTTTCTGAACCTATGAACGCTTTCGGGCAGCTTTCCAGAAAGATCAAAGTCATTGCCTTCCTACAGTAAATTAGTGACGTGATTCAGCAAAAAAAGAAGTAGAGTAAGAAAAACTATTTAATTGTTTGTTTTCTAACCATCAATGCCACAATCTCATTGAATTATTTTAGACGAAGACGAACCCCTAGGGAGAACAGTCATTCAGATTCGGCTGCCCTGGTCTAATAATACAAGTTTTAAAAAAATGTGGGCAACACATGAACGCTGTTGGGTATGGGATTTAATCCTGGCTTTTCGAATTTTTTCTCAAAACATCTTGGTTGAATCCATGGGATTTTTTTAAAATTCCGTTGAATAAGTTTTTCAATCTCACCAGTCCTGTTAAAAGTAAACCAAACGACTTAAATTTATTACTCAGTGAACTGCCTTAAATTCAGGAACGATGAATGAATTGCATTTGAGAAAACAATGTTTTCCAACCAGTTTTATTTGAGTCTTTATAAGAATAGCACTGACAAAGTTGTTGGTTTAAGCTTTAGTGTTATTAATGTGACCCACTCTGTAAAAATGAGTAACAAGTCTCCGGAGTTACTCTTTGAGTTTCACTTTGTATTAGATTGAAGAATCTGTTTTGATGAGTCACTCGGACTCAATGAAAATGGACGTTGTGTAGATGTTAAAATGTTCAGGATTCCTATTTCTTAAATGCTGTGCAAGATTATTTCAAAGGCCCTTTCCATTTTACTCAAAAGTGGCTCTGGAGAAGTGACTCATTTTCACAGAGCGGGTCACCTATTTTATCACAGAAATGTGCGACGGCCTTATGGTGTGGACTGAATGTGCTTGTGAGTTGAATTGCCAAGCTATGGCATCACGGGAAGACCCGATCTATGAATGTGACAACACTACCTGCCTACCCGGCTGCAGCTGCCCGGCCGGTATGGTGGAGCAAAATATGAGATGTGTCCTGCCGGAAGAATGCCCATGCTACTACAACGGGACGTTTTATGCGGTAAATCAAATTTCTGTGTGTGTCGTGTAGAATCCATATTTTCTTCATTTTTCGATTACCTTGCTCTATGCAATTGTAATGCTATAACAATTCTCGAAATCTACGCAAGTGGCCTCAGCATGAAACTAACCAGCAGCCCTTCCCCCAATGTAACATATTTTCTCACTGTTGATGTTGTTGTCTTAAAGATGGCTACGTCAAAACTACAGACTTATTTGAATGAATAACTAGCATGTTATAAGTATATAACAGCTATGTTTAAGAATTTATAGTCATGCCTACAATTTTCAACATTTTCAGTACGGTGACACGGTAGTAATAAATGATTGCTACATCGGTATCTGCGAAAGAACAACTCAAAAGATTGATGACCCCCTGAACATCATCCCTAACTGCAACATCGAAGCCTGTTCTAATGGAACCATGCTTCGGGATGTCCCTGGCGAGTGTTGTTCTTGCGTGCCTGGTAGGTGACATGACAGAGTGAAGAAATAATAATGCAACGTGGCACCTGAATCTTGGCTTCTCTATTTGAGAGGTCGTGCATCACCTTTAATAAAATTTCCAGCAACTGCTACTTTTACATTCCAAATTGAGTTCAAAGGTCGCTATTCCTTCAAATTCCCATAGTGAATACAAGATATGAAAAGCAAGACCCCACAGGCATGTTGCACTGCATAACTCCTACTGGATATATGACTACTCGTTTTTTATTTCTTCATTCCCATAATTTCTTACTTGAAAAGAATTAAGACCTAATAACCTGTATAAAAGTTTTTGAGGTTTCCGTAAAAGTTCTGTGATTCATAAACTTACTTTCGCTGTGACAAACTTACATCTATTGTCAAACTGAACTGTGGTTGGTAAATTTTTTTCTCTTCCGAGGTTTGCCCTTAACCATCAAAGAGTCGGGGGCAGAATCCGTCCCCCCCCGTGGACTTTTGCTTATAGCATCTCTGGGATTAATTTCTGCGTGCTAATACTTTATGACAATTTTTTCCAATGTATTAGCCTCATTTTGATTCCACATTTATGAAAAATGGACGTGGTGTTCTCTCTCAGTGAAGAATTTTAGGCAGGCAGGGTGAAGTAAGATGTGAAATTTACCACTGACTTTGTACACAGACCTACATCGTACAAAGGGCCGAGTGGTTTCCTTTTGTCAGAAAGTCTCTTGCTTTGGGGAATGTCTGTTAATTGCACAAGTAACTTACGCATATTACTGCGTACAGCTCATAGCATATCTGGTTTCATTTCCACTGAATATACAATCCATACGGCATCTTTGGTGTGAAAAATACAATAAAATCGCCCTACAATCGAAAGAAGATAGGGAAATAGGTATCGTGAATAATGAATGACTCATAATTATGCAAAAACTTAATAAATTTACATATAATTTCACACAACTGATTAGTATGTATCCCTCTATGACACTGTCAAATTTCATTGAAATACATCAACGTATTACCGAGATCTGAGGAGGGGGCAGATTCCGCTCCCCCAGCTGTGACAAGGCCAAAAAAAACTGGCTCTTTAAGGGTTAATAATGTTGGCTCTAGGTGTTAAAAGAGTGGAAGAGATTTGATGCGTAATCTTCCCGATGTATTAAACTAAGTGTTTAAAATTTCTGTGAACAGAATGCAAAAACGGAACGGTGTTTAGTTTATGTGCTTGCAATCGGACTTGCGAGTATCCCGAGTTGGTGTGCTCCGACAGTTGTACGCCAGGTTGCAGCTGTGCAGAAGATATGTTTTGGAACGGAACAGACTGTGTTGAACGTTGCCCCTGCCTCTTCATAGACCGCATGGTAAGATACATAGACGTTTATGAAATCTGTAACTAATATACCCAGTGAACCTGTTGTACATTTGTGATAGAACGTTTAAATATTTTGGTACGTGTTGAGCTTATTTTGGTCAAAGCTATGAACCTGTTGCATAAACAAGGCGCAATTTCAGTGTTTGAACTGTCCGAGGTGCCCAGCCTGGGATCCACTAAGGGGCGTTAATTCCAGTGACGTGGGTTACATTCCGTCACTTTGACCGGAGGTGGGCCATATCATCCGTCACCTATTCGAAGCGAGGAAAACAAAACCTTCCAATCAACCAAGAAGTATGTAATTGTACTGAAAGATAGAGAGGAAGTACAAAGTCCATAAAAACGCTATTTACATCACTATCATGCATGAACAGCGCTCCTTAAGTGCTGTGGTGTCCGGCAATCTTCCCCACCACAAGGCACAATGTGTCGAATTTCCACGGTTGGTGTGACGTATTGGGTGGGTTATAGAAAGAAACATTCTGTCGAGCTCACCTGGTTTATTCTGCCATCTTGGAAACTATAACCTGTTTATGGTAAACACTTCAGGGCGCTCTTCATACATAGGTGCGGCATGAGCACAAGGTATACGAACATACGTTATGCTTCCTCCCCACCTAATAAAGAGCTGGAATAAATCCAATATCAATTTATCAAGTTTAGACTTTTGATGAAACAAATGATGTTTGCAATGGTTTGGTCATTGAAATGCTTTCATCAGGTTTGATCGAAATAGTTCTTGTTTGATTCGTAACACTGAGAGTTTTGTTGTAGTTCCTTCTTTTTTATATTAAAGAGATCTTTTTTATTTTTTTTTTTTAAACACATACACCCAAAAACTGTAAACTTAGAAATATAAAAGCTAAACATTACTGGTACAAAAACGTGTATAGTGGCTCATGCGGTTTGCTTAGTGTAGGCTACCCAAGCCTTTTATGGGATCATGTAAGAATCGGGTTTCGTTTAAAGATCAAGTCTATCAGACGGTACGTTGCCTCAGAGGGTAGCAAAGCTGGTTGCTGGGTAGTTCTGTCGCAGGCTCTGGATCAACAGGTAGCGGCTAATCTCGACTGGGTGTTGGTAGCGGTAGGTGTCGGTGAAGTAAGTTTTGGATCTGCACGGCTCGGTGTCATCTGCTCACTCATGTCAGGAAGAAACTGCGGTACCGGATCTGGCTGCTGGTTGAAGACTAGAGGTTTCCCAGTGTCGACGTCCCGAAGCTGGTCGATGTGTCTGCGCCAGAGGGAATCAGGACCAACCCGCATCTCATAAGGCAGTGGTCCTGTTTGGGAGTGGATGATGCCTGGAATCCACTTCTCACTGCTGCGCGCGGTAAGTACGCAATCGCGCAAACTTGCTGCACATGCTGGCCCGTATGCAGGTTTCAGATGGCTTTTTTCCTGATCTGTGATAAAGTGACTGTTCCAGTTGTTTCCGGGAGATGCGTTGATGGATTTCTGGCTAGATGATGTCAAGTCTCGATCGGAGGTGTCGTCCCATGAGAAGGAACGCAGGAGAAAGGCCAGTGGTTGAATGGGGGGCGTTCCGATAAGCCAAGAGAAATCAGCACAACTTCTGTCCCTTTTCCCCCCTCCATCGATTTCAGTCCATTCTTGAGCTCTGCAAAAGCGCTCTGCAAATCCATTTGTCGCTGGATGGTAAGGAGCTGATGTTATGTGCTTCACTCCATTGCGCTTCAGGAAGGTTTCGAATTCCTCTGACTTGAACTGTGGACCATTGTCACTGACAAGTTGCTCAGGGATACCAAGTTGTGTAAATAGGGTCCTCAGGATACCAATGGCCTGGTTTGATGTGGTAGTAGTAGTCGGGATGACTTCTGGCCATTTTGAATGGGCATCTACAGCTACCAGGAACATTTGTCCCATGAATGGTCCAGCATAGTCCACGTGGTTTTGCAAGCCATTCCCAGTATGAAGCGGAGCCTTGGCAGGGTCGCATTGTGTTTTCTGGCTACCAGAACATTCTTTGGCCAATTCTTCTGTGTTATGGTCAATTCCTGGCCACCAAGCAAATCCCCGCGAGAGATATTTCATCTTCACAACGCCAAGATGATCTCGTTTCTACGACTGTGGTATGCTGCAAGATTCAGATCAACATTGGATGGCCAATAAAGCGTTTTATCCGTGGCGGTTTCCTTTCGGATATCACTACTAGAAGCAGGCAGGGTTTCAAGCTGAGACACCTGGAGTATATCAACAGGATCCTTTGACTCAGACTCACTTTGGCTCAAAAGAAGTCTGGATAGACCATCTGCATTGCTGTGTTTCGCAGTGTTCTTGTACTCGATGCTGTAATCATGACTGCCAAGGAAAATTGCATACCTTGCAGGTCGTGCAGCAGCAGTTGAAGGAGTACTCTTAGTGGGATTGAAAATAGAGGTAAGTGGTTGATAATCAGTTACTCGAGTGAAGTTGGCCACAGAGGTACAGATTAAACTTCTTTACTCCCAACACCAAAGCAAGTGCCTCCTTATCAATATGGGAATACTTCTGCTCTGCAGTCGTCAGGGTGCGTGATGCATAGGCGACAGGGCGTTCAGAACCGTCGGGCATGAAATGTGACATCACAGCAACTAGCCCATAGGGCGAGGCATGACACGCTACTTTCACTGGAAGCTCTGGGTCATAATGTGTCAGGACTTCATCTGCAGTGATTGAGGACTGTGCTCTCTCGAATGCCTTTGGGGTCCGCACCCATTTATGGTTCTTCCGCAGTAGTTCATTCAGTGGGTGCAATTCAGTCGCCAGATTGGGTAGGAACTAGTGGTAGTAGTTTACTAGGCCATGAAATGAATGGAACTGGCTCACACCGGTAGGTCGTGGGGTATTTCTGACTGCATCGATCTTATCCTGGGCTTTCTATAGGCCTTCAGAGGTTATATCATGCCCACAGAAAATCACTCTACGCTTGAAGAATCCGCACTTTGCTTTGTCAAAGCGCAGTCCACGGCCCTTCAGCAGTCAAGGATTTTGTTCTTTGCCACATGGCCGGTGCTGACGCAATTCCAAAGTGGTAGTCTGTTGAAGGCAGACTTTTGTGTGTGTTCATCGTCTGCAAGTTTTTTGACTCATCATCCATGGCCATGTGTAAGCAGGCCTGACACAAATCCAGCTTACTGTATTTTTGGCCACCGGAGACATTTGCGGAGATCTTCCACTCTGAGAAGTGGGTAATGGTCAATGTTCAGGTTGCGGTTAACCGTCACCTTAAAATCTCCACAGATGCGTACGCTCCCATTGAGTTTTGTCACAGGTACAATTGGAGTCGTCCAATCACTGGTTTCTACTGGCAAAATAATGCCCTGGCTCTCGCGCTTGGTCAGTTCTGCTTCCACTTTTGGTCGTACGGAACTTTTCTGGCTTTCTGGAATACTAGCTGGGCTTTGTCATGGAGGTTAAGTTTACCCTTTATGCCTTTGAGCTCGGCAATCTCCTCAACGAAGAGCTCTGGGTATTCTTCCACCATCATTTTCAGCTTTTTTTTCCGTACTGCCACCTCTTGGCGACGGGGCAGTCATCATGGCAAAGAGATTTGGCCAATCCAATTTGATGTGGGATAGCCAATCTCGCCAAAGAAATGGTGTACTTGTGCCCTTGATGATATATACGTGTATCTTGCCAGTATGCTGCTGATTTTTGGACTGCACTTTCACATTCAGCAGGCCTTCAGGCACAATTTCCTCTCCTGTGTAGGTTTGTAGCCTGGTATTTGTTGGCTGCAACTGCCCGATCAGGAAAAGCCTTTTATAATCGGCCATGGACAATATGGTGATGGCTGATCCAGTGTCAACTTCCATTTTAACTGGGCGATTGTTGACCTGAAGTGTCACTCGGATTGCAGTGCTCATGTCACACTGGTTGTGGCACACATTGTGTATGTCAATTCCACCGATCAGCACATCTTCATCAGAATCTGTATCTTGAATCTGAATGTCCACGGCTTTAACTTTCCCCTTATGTTTGGGTTGAGGCTTTTTCTGGTTTGGCTTTTTCTGTGCACGAGGTTTGAAGCGGCAGGCAGGAGCTATGTGCCCCGGTTTTCCACAGGAATGACATGTTGCATCCTTAAATCGGCAACTATCAGCAGTGTGATCATTCCTGCCGCACCTGTAAGATGACTGCTTGCGTTTAGCTACAGTGTGTACCGTAGTACTCGGATGCGTTTGTTGCTACAGTTCGATGGCATCCTTTGCAACCGTTTCCATTGCCATGGCCATTTCGGTTGCCTTTTTCAAATTCAATTTGTCCTCCACAGAAGTCGTTTCTGGATGCTGCCTGCACGCAACCCACACACAAATCTATCATGAAGTACATCATTTAAGTAATCACCAAACTGGCAATGTTCAGCTAGTTTCCTCAGTTCAGCCAGATACGTGCTGACACGCACTCCATCACTCTGGTCACGTTTCTGAAAACGAAACCGTTCTGTGATGACCAGCGGTTTGGAGGCCAAGTGTGTGGTCATGAGTTAGATGAGTTCTGCTTAAGACTTTGATGATGGCACATCAGGAGCAGTAAGGTTCTTGAGGAGGTGATAAGATTTACTTCCAATCAGACTCAGAAGTGCTGGGACTTGTCTGTCAATGGCTATGTTATTGGCTTGAAATTTACAGCTAAAGCCGCTCTACATATGTTGGCCAGTCCTCCTCATCGCTGTTGAAGTGGTCTATCCGCCCAATAAGTCCCGAAACCATTTTGTTCGCCTGCTACACATATGGATTGTACGTAAGCAAGAGCAAATGTACAACGAGAACAATTGAGTATCGAGTGGCACGCCTTTGGAAAACGATCTGTAAATTACTTACAAAACAGCGGAACTATAACTGATATACGGCAAATATTTGACCAAACAGGTGAGCAATTGTATCGTTAACAATTCTTCGTAGCCACTTTGTGATGTATTGAGTGGGTTATAGAAAGAAACACTCTATGCAGCTCACCTTGTTTATTCTGCCATCTTGGAAAATGTACACTCTTTATGGTAAAAACTTGAGAGGAGCGGCATAAGCACATGGTATATGAACATACATTACAGTTGGGCATTTGGGTTTTTTTCACATTATGTATCCGTATCCCTACAGTCCGAAGAGCAAATTTCCGCCATTGAATCCACTGCTGCTACTTATCCGGATAGATCCTATCTCTATTGGTCTCTGTGCATCGGTTAAATAGTACGCTGTTTCACTTGACACTTCCGATGACACCCAACCCGACCACACTTCGCTGTTAATCACCTAGGCTTTTGCAATTCGGAATGGGGCAGGTCATTTAATAGTATTACCAATCACGTAACAGTTTCAGTGTCATTTATAAGGGGCTGTATAGGCACAAAAGAACGGCAAAATGAAGCAAGAGTGGGTGTTCTTGGTTCGAGTCCCTGGGAGCATTTTATTTTACTGTTTCCCAAGCCTTTTGCAGTTGGAAAAGATAAATTTAACAAAGACCAGCTCTGGTCATCCAATATAGTAATAATTCAAAGCTACATGCACGAGTGACTATAATATTGCATGTCACTGTGCTGCTGAAAATTCAATGCAATTGTCGGAAAGCTACTCCCTTGGTAATCAAGCATGTTCTAAACCATGACCATCAATTTATTAAAATCGTACGTCGGAAATAAGCTCATAGGTTTATTTGATTCTTTTGGTTCACCAAAATTTGAATTTCGCCTTTATTTTACTATTACAAAACCTGAACAAGCATAACTTGACGTATTTCCTCACAAGCTGTGAACAGGCAACGGAATTACCATTTGACCAAATCTCATTTCGTAAAAAAAGAGTGTTACTTCCGTGCCCCCAGAAAGTTGAAAACTACACCTCGAATCCTTTTTCATTTTCACACAATAGAATGAAAAAGTCTGGAGACAGGATAATTGCACAATGTGCAAATGGACAGATGTCGATAACTGCTTGGTGGACTGCCACGAGTTTTGTGAGATCAAAGATGCCTGTGGCGAAAATGTGAGTTTCAAATTCATCTAATATACAGAGTGCGTTTTATACAGTAATAGGAACATTTTGCACAATGGTGTAACTTACGAAGGGAACTTCGACAGGTAGGTGATCCCCGTACTGATATCTGTGCTGGAAACCTGGAAACGAGCAACAAATTTTGTATGCTTTTCAGTGCCCTCTTCCAAAGCAGTGTGCTCCCCAGGTTTCCAGTTTCGTCCCAGTTATGCCACCGGTTTCGGAGTGCTGCCAAAAGGTACTTCAGGTTACCGCAAAAACAAAGCGAATTTGACATCAGGACAAATTTTACCCCAGTTGAAATTTGCTACGAATTTGCAACGCAAATATTTGATCTGACGTCACAAATTCACGTTCCGTTTTCAAATTCATGTGAGAAGTAGTAACTGGTCCTAAAACAGTATTTGAATATGAAAGCAACAATACCAACCTTTTTCATTCATTTAAAAATTAGATGGATCTCATCAATGAAGACCCTGACGATATGATTTGCTGCCACTGTGTTCCAAAAGGTGGGTGTGTAGTTTTATCTTTGCTCTTACAAAAGCAACAAAGTGATGCTGTGAAACTGTTTTGATACAAATTTTCTCGATACAAATATTTTGCTTGTCCTGAAAGGGTTAAGGTATTTTAACAAGCTTATAGTAACCAATTATATTCAGTAACTTAGACAAAGTTTAGAGATAAGTCATCAGTATTTCAGACTACCGTTCAAAAATACATGAAACAGTCCAAAAATCATTTCTCAGATTTTGCCTGTCGAAAGTGATATTTCACTGCAGAATAACCATTACTATACCACCACACATGCCATATCAAAGCATGGATCAAGATCGAGCTTTATAAGTGTTGGTTAAAAATGGCACAAAAGAAACTTTTGAGTTATTTTGCAAGCACAGAAAAAAATGTGATATATTGCGTGAGTCCATTACACGGCCTCGTTTTCTATAGTATCGGTGTTTGTGATTGGGTATAGTCTGGACTGTCCCCCTTTCATGATACTACCACCTAAAAGGTCCATGAAGTCATTTGGAAATATTTCCGCAGGGATATTTTTTGAAACCCCCTCCAGGAATTAAGGCTCAATTTGTCAACAGATACTATTGTGCAAATAATGAATTATGTGAAAATGTTCATCGATAACATTAATAATACATGTACTGGGTATAGATGGGTTTGGTGTTGCCCTTTTACGGTTAATTAAAGCAATGACATTGAATGGCATTTACAAGGATGTTTGTGCCATCTTACACCAGCTGCTTTTGAATTTTTCCTTTCAAATAACTTTCATTTGGGATTCACCTAAAATACCTTGTTGTTGTTTGTCCCTTTTTGGCAATAGAACGTTGCAAACATGACGAGGATCCTGTTGGTGTTTACAGATCTGTAAGTTTTTACAGCTGATTAATGGAAAAGCAAAACGATCTTGTGATTTTTAAGAGCAAATTAAATACTTTTACGTTTTCAAGGTACATCATACAAATATTCACGAAAAGGTAAAAGTGGTGTCAACATCATTTTGTTTTCTCATAACCCAATATCTATTATTATTTGTTTGGGTATTAGACCAAATTTTTAATTCAATTTGGAACACAACTGAACTCTTAAGAGTTTCCTAAAGTCATTGTCATGTTTCCTTGCCTTTTTTAAACGTTAGCAACAAACATATTTTAATATGTAACTGTCAAGGCAAAAGTAGAATGGAAGCAGGCACACTTGTATAATAACATTACACCGCTTCGCACGTGACCATTTCAAACAGCTGTTTATACTTTCTGAAGGTTGGTGAAGTCTGGATGCCAAATATGTGTGAGGAATGTGAATGTTCTCAGAGTGGCAATGTCATCTGTCGGGAGACTGTGTGTCAGGAACCACCATGTCAAATTGTGAGTATCTTCCTCGCATACTTTTAGCTTTGATTTCAAAACATTTAACTGGCTAAACTGCAAACGGCGAATCCGACCTGTTACTTTCCAAAGTGAGGCTTTTTAATTAGATTTGTATAGTTTGTACCGTTAGTCGTAATGGGGTGGTACCTGTCTTCAAAATGAAATGCTGTTCATTGCGCAACATCTTATAATAAAATCTCCTGAATTTTTGTTTGGGTGCTGGGGATGCCTGACTTCTGAGCTCGAAAACAGGAGAAAACAAACTAGCCAGATTATTTTGTTTGGAGTGCGTGAAAATGAATTCAATTCCAAACCAACAAAACTGCGAAAAGCAAACGTTAAAAGCAATAACTGACCAAACATCATTTAACGACTGTTTCTTTTATTCGTATAGGGATACGAGCCATATAGTGTCGAAGGTGAATGCTGTGCTCGTTGCAGTAAGTATCCACAGGGACAGAGATAAGGATTGTGGCTCTTTTCCCAGAACAAATTACTTCAAACTTCGCATCCCCTATGGTAGGCGATCCCATTCTGGTGTGCAGCTCCAAAAACTGCTATATATAGCGAGACGCATCAACTAAAATTACCTGTCAAGTTTTGTGTTGCTTAAGTTTAGTTTGTGACTGCTTTGAAATCAATTAGGCCTAACTCTAGGCTAAATACATCGTACATGCATCTGGAATGCTTTTATAGGAACTGTCAAACATGTACCTTCTAATTTTGATGAATGAAATGCCACTGCGGTGGCTTATCAAGTTTTTATTTGGGGGTCAATAGGATGTATATATGTACGAAAAAGGACAACATTCCAGGGCTAAGGAGATCTACAATTTAAACGACACATTGTAATACTTTGCCCTTAATCCTGCTACAGGACCCATTCCTGAGCTGGTAACCTCAGTACCATCACCAGAAACACCACCAGCTTCAAATGGTAAGCTTTGACGATCTTCTGTTATCTTTTTGTGAATCAAACTTATCCATTTCTGTACGTGTATTTTGGGGGATTTGGTTTGCAGGTTGAAAGCATTGTGGGTTTCAACAAGCTTTAGCTGTTAGGGCTGCCACTGGACATACCACGGTTTTGTGGTATATCGAGCTTCTTCCAACGCTAAAGTGGCAAAGGTGAATGCTTCGTTGTGTATTTTAATGCGTTATAAAATCTTTAAGACCACCCAGCCCTCATGACGCAGGGGTTCCATTGTAAAACAGAGATTTTATGATCCTTAACCTTAGAAATTGAAAGGGACATTGCGGTTTTCACCTTCGTTGTTGATGAGTGAGGGGGATGCGGAGTATTAACTAACAGTGCGAAACTGTCAGTCGGATTCACAGTGTCATTTTATTACGTCCGCAGATTTGAGGGTTTTAAGGCGTCCTAATTGTTGGCATTCCAATACGCAGTCGGTGTATTTCAGTTTGACTCGTTTGAAATGATCTAAAAGAAATTTTTTCAACATTGTCTTTTAAAGAATGCCCAGATATTTGCTACGTAGATGAACCGCTGTCCTGTGAGCAACAGTTGGCTTTCACAAATAAGTCCGACAGTGCGCCATTTTCTGAGGAGTCTCAGTGCAATCCAGTGTTTAGTGACTTATTCAATAACAAGCCCAACTGTTCCTGCAACGAGGGATTTGTTAAAGATGTTTCAGGAGGTCCTTTAGAAGAATTGTTAGGATACACGTTCAAGTCTGGGATGTGCATTAAATTTGATATCTGCCTTGAAGGTAAGTTTCCTGATGAGAACATGTGTTATTCTTGGAAGACGTAACCGTTGGCACTGTATTCAGCAATAAGAAAGACTCATGTAATTAATGAAAATCATAATGACACTGTAAGAAGTAGATCTTTCTGATAGTTGTTGATGTCAAATACTGGAATCACAAAGAACTTTTTTGTAAAATGTGCACGTAATTTTATTTTGTTTAATGTTTAGTTGCTACAACAGAAAAACAAGAGTTAACATCTGTCACAACAACTGAATTTCCATGTAAGTAAAATAATCTCTCTCTCACCTAATGTGTGTTGAGTCTACTACCACATACCTACCAGATTACCAATCTCTTTCCCCCCCTCCCCAAACGGCTTGGTGCACTTCACGCATCAAAAAAGAGGACGAACATGGCCGACGCCTTCGCGGGGGGCGAGTGAGTGGGGGCGCACAATTGGTGATCGAGAATTTAGCGAATGGAAGTAATGGACTAGGAAATAATGGATATATATTGGTAATCTGCGTAGGTTGCAGGCAGTAGACTGTAGGGCTGCACCAATGGACGATTTCACTTAAGTTTTACAATGCTAGATCCTAATTAGTTGCCAAGTTATGTAGAGGTCAGTATGGCATGTTTAAGAGAACCAAAACATTTTCAATTAGGATTGAGGATAGACACACAAACATTAAACTAATTCATCCTAAGTTTCATTTCTTTCCTTCTTTTTTTAGATTGTCAAAATGTATGCCATGTAAGCTGTGACAAATCACAACTGGAGTATGAATTATTCTACAATTCAACTATCTGTAAGTCGGAATTCGCAAAGTTCTTCAATGCTACCCAGCACTGCAAATGCAAGGAAGGTTATGTGAAAGATGAAGAGGGAGAGGCTGTGGACCAACTTGGATTCCAATTTAATACGTCCATGTGCGTCGAGGTGGAGAGCTGCAAGCCAGACTGTGCACACAGTAACCACTATTTATATGTGGGTATACTTCTTTTATAAGACAGAGCTATTTTGATATTAAAATACATATGATCCTCAGCTCCTTTGCACAGGCTAGTTTTAAAAAGGGAATCTACAAGTGCAACACTTTTAGTTAAATAGCTTGAACCCAGTTCAGGAGTCACGCACCAAGAAAGTTGGACAACAGTCAACGCAATCTGATTGATGAGTAATGGCAGTTGGAACAGGTATCAAAGGACGCATTGCCATCGTTGTAACATCAATATGATAAACCCAATAAATTATGTTCATTTTTACAGGAAGGGGAGTCAGTAATCCAAGATTGTGAAATATGTGAATGTGTGAAAATCTCTGGCGTAATTGACGAAAGCATCACTCCTTGGAATGTTGAATACACTATGGTTTGCACACTTCTTCGTGATTGCACTTTGAAGAACAAGACACAAACAACAGGTACTGGAAACATTTATCCTCCGCGTGTAAAATCTGTTGTCAGCTCAGATGTTAAGTTTTAACTACGGTAAAAGATTAACTGATCATTCTGATTCAATTTAATTTAAAGTGATTGTCTTTTGGATTCAGCACTTTTGCCTGTTTGAAGTTAAAGGGTAGCTGCAATCAATGTTTTTGATTACAAACCAAAAAAATGCACGTTTGTACTTCAGTAAACATTACTTTCAACTTTGGTTTCACTATTTCAAAGGGTATTTTGATGCCATTTTAGTTTTTATGCTAATGATATTTCCATATTCATGAGCAAAACTGTAATGCCATCTCAGGAAGAAGCCTGAATGTTACATTGGTTTGTACACTAAAAGTCCTGCGTTTTTGTAGATGTTCCTGGACTAAGTTTTCTCTTCTTTGCTGATTCATTTTTGTTTATGTGCATAGCAATAAGAAACCATCAATCCCTCTCAGAAATGTTTTCAGTTTGTAAATTCTGGGTTCACAATTTGAACAGAAATACCTATGCGCTGAATCATGTCTTCCCTAGATGACTTCACAGCGACAGCGCCCTCAGTTGTCAGAGAAAACACGGATAATTTAGATGTTTCAAAATGTGCACTTTCCAGGACGTTTAACAAAATAGGAGTGTGTACGAGTTTTCATACATTGTGGAACAAAAATGCAGAAAAATTATGAGGAAGAAAAATTCATTGAAGCTACACTTTAAAGGATAGGCCTACAACCCTATCAGACACATGATAATTATGGCTTCCTCACAACCCGGAGAACCGTACCCAACAGTCCCCCCCCACTACTCTAATGCCTACCAAGCCTCTCTCTCCCTTTCACTGCAAAATGTTCTCAGTTCGATGTGAATATTTGACTCGACAGTTTTGACGATGAAAATAAATTAAGATTAAGATGTGTAAAAGGTAAGACGTTGGTCATCAGTAAAACAAATACCTTACTGAAATTGACAAAATCCTGTGAACTTTTCATAGTTACAACAATCAATGCCTTGTTTGCACACCCTCAAAATCTTTATGCTTACGGAATTCCATGCTCTTTTAACTTTGGAGTTCAAGCACAGGTCGATCATAAAAGATTAAGTATATGCCTCAACCATCATAGTCAGATGATCTGGCATTGAGGTAAAAACGAATTCCCAGCTAAATTCATCCAACATCTGTAATTTTAAAACAAAAGGTATTAATTTAGCAAGAAAGTTGATCTGTTTCGAAGGGTTTCAGGGTGTAAGTGCAACCATATTAATTTAACTTTCCGTCAGGTTAAAGTCTGACTGTTACTGTTCGACTTTACTTTTTTGTGATCAGGTCCCCCTGCTGGTTCAGAGGTTGAAACAACTACGAAGCCAACGCGTTCCCGTATGTAAAAAGACATTTATCCCAATTCCTAGGGTGTGTCAGGAATCATATTGGATAAGTACTTTGAACTTAATACGAAAGAAATAAAGGGTTGATTGATGTTCATCATCAAACCACGGACGTAACTTTTACTGTAGATACTTTTTAAATGACACAAATGAAAAGTAGACCGTAAAATCTGTTCAAAAACCTCGTTGTATTTCCAATTTGGAGGTCAACATCTGTCAAAATATCGTGACCTTCTAAGAGTATTCCATAAATGGGTCAATCCATGTCAGATTAACACACCTTTTAACCTGCAGATTTGGAAAAGAAATTGCTATGCTTGCAGACATCAATGAATTATAAATACATGTCAACTTTAAGCCGACAAAAATGGACAGTTTCCACTTAAAAGTTAATCCTTTTAGTAAAACGAAATACAACCCTCTCAATTTTCATCGAATATATCCAATCGAATATCAAAAGAATCAGAAGAACGTGGTCTTTCCTTGATGTTGTGAAGGTTTAGCTTTGTGAACCCAGGGTCAGGATGACCTTTCACACACATGTTTAACCTTTGATTCCATTTCAAAAGTACCAAGGTGGATTTTTAAGTAAAAACAGCCCATTCTTTTGTTGATGTGTCCTGACCGCATGGAAGACATCATCAAAGACGTTGACGAAGTAAGACTAGACGTCAAATTAACGTGTATACAACGTTAAAAAGAAAAATATGTTTCAGAGTTATATCATAACTTTATACTTTTAAAATAAGCAATGAATACCAAAATACCGGAAATTCAAAAAGTTACTTTACAAAACGTTCCCCTGTGTGTAAGCTTCGGTTAACATAAAGCCAGATGTACTGAAACTCCATGTAAACACCCGTTCCCTCACTCTTACATCTTTATTTTTGTGGGGTATTTCCTTTGTACTTGTGAACTTAAATATTTGTGATTGAAGCACAGTTCCCCAATTGCTCCCATCTGAACCAGACTACCTTTGTTAATGTAGGTCCTCCAGGAAGTTCTCAAATTGAAACGACCCCACAACCAATGCGCTCTCGTAAGTATAAACTATTTCCCATAAGTACCATTTCCTACAGGCATTCTTTGCCGATGTTCTGTAAAAAGATAACTTTTAAGTTTGTTATTGATCTCCTTTAGAAAGGGTAATGATGTTGTTCATCAAATAAGCCACTTTTCCCTGATATTCAGTTACCAAGTTTCGGTTAAAACAAGTTATGTATTCAAACAGACGATGGATGGATGGATGGATGGATGGATGGATGGATGGATGGATGGATGGATGGATGGATGGATGGATGGATGGATGGATGGATGGATGGATGGATGGATGGATG